AAACTCAATTTGAGTTTGAAAATGGTGATTTCTAGAAAAGAGATGAAGTTCCTGGAGAGTTCCAGAATAAAGAAGAGGAAGCCAAAATGAAAAAGAAGAGCAGAGAAGCTGCTGGAAGAATGGAGAAGGAGGAAGCTTCAAGAAAGCTCGATTGATGAAACTTAACATTGAAGACACACTGTAGTACACACATTTTATACATGGTTTGTTGAGTCTATAAATAGATAGTTTGTGGGATTGTTTTAGATAGAGTGAAAGAAAAACAACATCTCCAGGAGTGGGAGATTTCTGAGAGAGATTGAGAGTTAGAGTTTGTAATTTGTTTGAGATTATTTGAATAAAAGAAGTGTTTGTTCAAATTTATTCCTCTCTTTATATATCATCACAACCGGTATACACCCCTCTCCCACTACTCAACAACCATTTCAAACACCAAATCTCAATGACTCTTTTTATGAGTGGATCCCATACTAATCCTGTACGACTCACCAGACTGTCCAATGATCGGAGAGATTAACTTTGCTCAAAAGCTAAATAAAGTAACTGGAAGGAACTGCTAAAATAAGTCACATTGCAACTTCACATCATAACCGGTGATATGCATCAAATTCCAATGGATTTTTTTTTTCTTCATTTTTCGGAACTTTATCCTTGCCATTCAAACTAACAAAATCTTCAAGCCACAACACATTAGAGAAGAAAAAAGTTGAAAAACCTAACAATAAAAAGCCAGAAAACCAGAAAATTCACAACAAAATATGAAAGTTCATACTACTTTGTATAACTCGAAAATTGTTAGTAACCTATTTCAATAATGACACTAGAAAGTTTGCTAGCACGACCATTGTTCATTTAAAACAAAAAACAAGAACTAGAACTACATAGATAATTTAAACCAAGTGTAGGGCTTTTTCATCTTCTTCTCAATCATTTGCCGAGTGACATCAAGCTCTTTGCGATTCATGTCGAGCTTGTCATTGATACTCTTCAAGCGTGCCATCAAGTCATCATGCTCTTGTTGCTTTTGTTTTTTCTCGATCAAAATGCTTCTTAGCAACGCACCAATCAAGGTACCAATGGAGAGGTGCTCTAGTCGGAATCGTTGTTGGAGTGATTGCCAAGGAAGAGGGGCTTCCAAACCACCAAAGACATGGTTGCAACAAAAAAACCAATTACAAGTTACAAGGAGTAAACCCTATACCTATATTTCCCTAACTTTTCCATTTCCATTTTCATTTTCATTTTCAAATCTTTACTCAAATCATGATGCAATCCAAGTTAACATAAGACTGACTATTCAGTGATAACAATTGCACCATAGGCATTGTTTAGACCTGTTTGGCTAGAGGTTATTTAGCTAAAATAATTAATAAAATAAAATATTTCATCCAATTTATAATCATTTTATTTTTTTTTCTTATAACTATCAAATCAAGTAAATATATATATATATATATATATCATTCAAAATATAACTTTTTTTTAGTCAGATTAAAATAATCAAAAAGTCAAATAATTAACTAAAATAGTCTATTCCCAAACGGCCTTTAATGTTGGAAAGTGTGTAAAACAATGTCATGAAAATATGTGAAAAAGTGTATCACTTTTTTGTCTTTTTACTATGCCCTAGGACCACTAATTAGCAAAACTCAAATTAAAATTTAAAATCAAAATCAAAATTAAAAGGAAAATGCTAATAAGTGTTCCCTAGACATTATTTAATGTTGAAAAGTGTCATGATAATATAAAATGCTAATAAGTGTTCCCTAGACATTATTTAATGTTGAAAAGTGTCATGATAATATGTGAGAAAGTATATTGATTTTAATAAAAAAAATGTTTTAAATTTAATAAAAAAATGCCTGTGTTCTTTAATTTTTTTTTTTTGTTTTTTTACTTGTGGCTAGGGATTTGTTAGCAAAACCCAAATCAAAATTAATAAACAATATATAGATATATACTTGTGGAGATGGAGTCTAGAAGAAAAGAAAGAAACGCACCGATTGAAACGAGCTCGTGTGGGAGCTGACTGAAGCTAGAGTGAGAGTGAGACTTTAAGCCCCAAACTTTCTTTGTCCAACACTCCAAGGCCCTCTTTATTGTCAGAGATACAATTGAGGGAATTGATAGCGGTTGTCCAACTCTCCAAGGCCATGTTTGTTTTCAGAGATACAATTGAAAGGATTGATAGTAAGAGAATTAAGTAAAATTGTATTTATTTTAATGATAGTTGTTAGTGTAGAGAATGTTAAATTATTACCCTATAAAAGAAATATAAAATATTAAAACAAACAAAATTATAATTTTTAATTAACAAAAAATACAAAAACATTAAACATTAAACATTAATGTTCAAAAAAAAAAATACCCAACATGTAAAAAAAATAAAAAATAAAAAATAAACCTTAGCCGAATGACTAAATACCTAATACCACTTCCACCTCCTCCATCTCAATCCCCCTTCCAAGGCCCAACCTAATCCGGACCTACATCTCAATCCCCTCTTTATCTCCCAAAACAAATATAATATTAGTGGGTCTCACATCCATCTCAATCCTAATTCCCCCTCTATCTCCCAAAACAAGAGGAGCCCAACACTCCGACTTGTTGCAATTTCCCTTTTTATGGGTAATTTACATTTTGCCCCTTTATCTTTGACTATTTGTTTACTTTTGCTCTTAAAATTTAGTATTTTTTTTTTTCACTTTGCCTCTTTATGTTTCAATTTTTTTTAATTTACTTCAAAAGTTAATTTATGTTTAAAATTAAATAAAAAATGACACATTAACAGTCATGTGATATAAAAATATTTTATTATATATAACTCATATTTCTGACACAAATACAAATATTAATATAATAATCTACTAAACGAGTCTAAAAGTCTATCTTGAAGTTTATTTACTTCAAGACCCGAGTCTTTAACGAGCCGAGCTCACGAACAGTTTGGTTCATTTGCAATCCCATATCAAAATGATCAAAAAAACTTAAAATTGTACAAAATGCAAATCATTAGCCATGTTTTGGGTTGGCTTTCCAAATCTTTTTCAAAAGAGAAAAAATTAATTTGACCAAATTAAACATCCAAAAATATATTTTTAAAAATTATTTATACTCTCTAAAAATGATAAAACTATATAAAATTGATAAGTGCTTTTAATTTTCTCATGCATTTTAGCAAACTAATTTATAAATACTTAAATATCAATATGCACTGCTATAATCTCATCACCCTCAACACTACTATTGCTACCATCATGCCACCACAACTACTGCAACCGCCACCACCCTCCACCACTACTACCATTACCATTATTACCACCACCGTTGTCATCAGCATCATATACACCAACATGATTTCACCACCATCATCATAATCGCAACTGTCATTACCATTATCACTACCACAACCCTTTACCGCCACAACCATCGGCACTGCTGCCATAGCTATCACCATCATTCAACCACTACTACAAAAATGCGCAGAAGATAGAAAAGTTATCCAGAACGTTGTTGCAAAAATGCATTATTGGCTTCACATAGAATAAGAAGTCATTCTATTGATCATCCTAGTTAACATAGTTCGGCTGAAGCATAATCAAAAAACAGATCCAAATCCCCTAAACAACTCGAACTAATTACTTCTACACAAAAAGCAGTTTGGTTGAATGATGTCACTCTTAAAACCAAAAGAGAAAAGAAGCCATTGTTATGTAGGCAATAAACATGATAATAGGGTCATAAAAAATGAGGATTTTGCAGTACAACCATTTTCTCATCAACATGGTTTTATTGCAAGGCCAAGGCATAATCAGGGGCAACTCCATGTTGGCCTAATATCCCTCATAAAAACACATCTGCACAAAATCAAATGCAAATCCCTCTATATGTATTTACACATGAAAAATTCTATTCATATATAAAATTCATACAAAAAATTTCACAAGAATGATGTGACAACACCATTATTTTAAATAAATAAATTTTCAATGGTATTTTATTTTGAAGTGAATGATCCATAATGAGCCACATCATTATGTATGAATTTTTTGTTTGTATAACATTACTCGTGTATGGAAAAAAAAAACCTTACCACACTTGGTTGATGGCCACCGGAAAGCACGGACACACTACTTTAACACCTGAAAAGAAAGAAGCTCTCTGGCTGGTGGGTGATTAGTGGGAAACTCTCCGATATCTAAGTGAGTTCTGGCTCAAGAATTCTCAATAATACAGTAAATGAGAGTGTTGTTGGTTGTGTGTACCTAGTTGGATATGTTTGAGGTTATTTATAGTGGAGCCCTACTAACAGTTGCAATTGGTTGAGAGAGATTATTCCACCTCTAGTGGGATCATGTCCCGCATCCACGTCACTCTAGGATTGGATAGGAGTTGCCACGTGTAGTCGACTCCCATTGACCTGGTCCACCCTTTGGTCAGGATTGGCCATTCGACCTGTTAGAGCTCGGCCACCAGGTTGTCTGTGGCTGATTGGCTGCTCGAGATTCATCTCCCACAATGTGTATGTGTGTATATTATTACATAATATGGCAATGGTTTGCACAGATGATGTGTTTTGCTTAGGAAAGACTCCAATTTTCAGAGGGAGAGAATTGGTGACTTTAGTTACAAAGTTCAATTTTGCAGACTTAAAGCTTTAGAGTATTCATCCACTTCATCCGGATTGTTTCCAGAGCTTCGAAAAGCAATATTCCCATCAACATCAGTGTGGTTCAGATTTTTACCCACACACCTGTAAATCTTCCTTGGATAATAAGATTTCCCATATTCTATCACCTATTAGAACATGACCTAAACATGCCATGTAATTAATTAGCTATGATGCTAGTTTCACTCAGATTTTAAACATGACAACTCTAGCTTCTTCAATGATGCTTCCTAAAACATGAATAATAACTGCTACTTTATCTACTGTGTTGTGTTTGGATTAGTAGTAATACATATCCAATTTGAATGTGCCAATTCAACATACAAAGCGATTGTCTCCAAATAACAATAACAATGCCACTAAGTAGTGACATCACAGCTGTGATGTGAGAACATCACAATATATATATATGTAGCACTGGTACAACAAGATAACAATAAACCAATATTTCAAGAATCTTATTCCCAACAATAGTCTGATTCTAAGGTCAAATATACATAAAGCCTAAGATATTAAATTTCTAATGGAGCCTCTCACATCTAGCAAAATCTAATTCTCTTATTAAGTCTCACCACATAAACATCTAGCAGCTTGAAGAGCAAAATATGTGAGAATAATGTCAGCACCTGCGCGTCGGAGGCACATTAGAGACTCCATCATGACCCTTTCCTCCTCAATCATTTTCAGAACCCCACCCGCCTTAATCATTGAGTATTCACCCGAAACCTGTATCCAAAAAAAAAAGGATAACATAAATGAAACAAACTTAAAATGGATAGAAGGAAATTAGATCATAGCATGAAGTTGGAAGGGAAGCAACTAAAGAACAGCTCCAAAATGCATATATGAACCACCATAATAGGACAAAACAATTTGTAAGGTTATACACAAAATAAATGCTGTGTCCTTTCGTAACAAATGCTTTGACATGATACAGCTAAGTCTATGTTCTCTGTCTGTTTATTTTCAAAAAATGTAATGCTCTTCCCCTTTTACAATGCAATGTGATTATCCCTTCCACTTAATATCAGACTCCCCAGTACAGTGCAAAAAACAGTACCAGAGAAATGAAATCGAGTCCAAATGGCATTAGAGAGAAAAATGCAAAAAAGAAATTAAGGCTACCTGATATGCAGCAATTGGCAAGGGGGAGTTATCGCGAAGAAGCCTAATGATATCCAAGTAAGGAAGACCTGGTTTTACCTGCAACCCAATTAAAATAAACTTCAGCATAAATAAGGTCCCACAACAAAGTGTGCAATCAAAGTTTTTTCTTTTTTTTAAAAAAAATAAAGAAAAAGAAAAAAATGAATAAGCAATGCTAACCAGAAGGATATCAGCTCCTTCAGACTCGTCTTCACGGGCCTCAACCAGTGCCTCCCTATAATTGGCTGGGTTCATCTGATAACTTTTGAATACAAAGCATGGGCAAAAGTGAGCACTAGCAATACTAGAATATAATCTACTAAACAATACCAATTAATAGATTTATCTATCAACTTTGATGAACCACATACGTTTTCTTGTCCCCAAATCGTGGATTTGACTCTAGTGCTTCACGGAAGGGACCATAAAACGAACTTGCATACCTGTAAGCAACATAATTCAAACTAACATGTAAAATACAGCAACTAACAACACAGGACTGAACTAAAAGAAGAGAGAAAAATAAATAAGTTAAAGTTAACCAAAAGTACTCAAAAGTCACTCGTCCTCACGTTGTGAGTAACACAATGTTTGGTGAAAGAGAAATTAAAAGCATGAATGTGCAAAGATGTGAAACAGTGCAGGGTCTACATAGACAGCCCATGTTAGAATGTGACAAAGATGTGAAAAACTGAAGGGTGAAGAGTTTTTCACCATCTTAGCAAAATAGCAAGTGAAGAGATGGACCATGGCTACAGTTTTATTTTTATTTAATATTAATTATTTATGTGCTTGTTTATTTCAGGGGGGTGGGGGGATGGTGGGGCACATAACTGAACTTAGATGTAGGAAATGAAGATAATCATGCTCTTATAAACTCTAAGTGAGCTTACACTGTAATTCAAATGAAACAGGAAGAAATAAACTACACTTTCTTCAAGTTCAAGGTATACTGAAAAGAGTTAGCATAGAATGATGCATGCTAATCACCAATAAAAATAAGGTAGCAGTTTGCTTGCTGGCCTTACACAACCTCAAACAGAAGTTGAACAACCCAGTCTCAGACTAATGAAAAAAGATCACTTCGCCCAGTAAAGAAAAATAAAGTTAGAATTCATTAGTTTCCAATTTATTCCACCAAAATGACTATATACTCTCCAATTAACCATTATACAATGGTAACTATGGGGGTGTTTGGGAAGAAAAAAAATAGCCAAATTTAGGCTAAAAATCACAAAAAGACAAAATAGGCTAAAATAGCTAATAAGACAAAATATCACCTCAAACCCATAATCATTTCACTTTTTCTCTCACAAACATCACATCCAACCACAAAAAAATCCAATCATCTTCCCAAACACAAAAATTTTAGCCTACTTAAAATAGCCAAAAACTAAAATAGCCTACTAAAATAGCCACTTCCCAAACGAGGCCTATGTTACACCGACTCAGGTCAAGTATGTGTCAAGGTGTCAAATTTATTTAATTCTCCACCAAAACACTGCCAGATTTCATATTTTACTCAGTAAAATGATGATCACAAACTAATAAGGAGCATTTTATGCCCCCCTAATTTATTTATTTTTAATGAACACAAAGTGTTTGTCAACAGCATGGACTGTAAAAAGTTGGTTTGAAAGCAACTTCAAGTTCAATCATGACAAAAGAACAAAATTTCTTAGATGAGGTTGGAGATGAGAGCTTTTCTTTTCTTTTCTTTTCTTTCTTTCTTTTTATTTTTTTTATTTTTTATTTTATTTTAAATAAGTATGAGATAAAAACAATAATATAAAGATTAACATCTTATGTAGGATATGTCAGATTTAGTAAGTAATTTATGCATGATGAGGAGGAGGAAAAAACCAATTAGAAAGAAGCCTCAAATAAGCAATTTACTTTGCTGTGTATGACATGATAGACACATGATGAAAACCTTCAGCATCAAGAGCTGCTCGAATTGCTCCTACAGTTTCAGCATCCATCATGTCACTGGGACTGACAATGTCTGCTCCTGCTCGGGCCTACATATACAGTAAACCAAGCAATAAAATCAAAAGCTGGTCAGGTCACAACATTTAGTTGAAACAAATGTATAAACAAGTCACATAATTTCTGAGACAGTGATTCAAAATCTCCGGAAAGCTTTCTGAATGTGCAAGGGAAACCCATAAGAAATGGTATCATTTGCCTCCAGGGGAGGTTAGATTAATTCTTTGTAAGCAGTTGAAAACAACATTTTACCCCATTTCACATATCAGTCTAAAACAAAGTCAGTGATAAAAATACAATTGTAAGACAAGTTATGAAGATTTACATGTGTGCTGAAGATGTATACACAAATACAATTTGCACCATATAAGATCTGAAATTACCTGTGAGACGGCCTGCTTACACAACTGATGCACAGTTTCATCATTCATTATGACTCCTGCAGGTTGTCAAAGAAGAGAATGAAAATAAATCTACAGAAGAAAGAAATCTACTCTCTTTCTTTTTGAATCACTTTTCAATATATCTTTGTTCATATTGATTTCACAAAAATATTCACACAACTTTGTTTCAAGTGTTACCAAATCCAGCGTTGCACTTGTTTCAAAGATATAGAGATATTTCTCACCATCTTCTCTAACAATGCCATCATGGCCATCAGAGGAATATGGATCTAAAGCAACGTCAGTGTAGATAACCTGACAACAGCACATCAAAAGCACCAAAAGTGTTGCCAAAACTCCCTTAGCCCTCCTAACTGAGAAAATAAATTATGAAGTTTCAAAATAATAATAATAATAATAACTTACAAGATCAGGATACTTGTCTTTGAGCAACCGTATCGCTCGAGGCACTAATCCATTATCATTATATGCTTCAACACCTGTGGGAGACTGGAGGGCCATAAACATGTTAAATTATACAAATCATGGGAAGCGAAATTTAGATGGTGAATACGAACCTTTAAAGCATCAGGAACTTTTGGGAAGAGCACAACACTGTTAACACCAACATCCCGGGCCTTTGACACCTGCATTAAAAATAAAACAAAAACAAAACAAAACAAAAAGGTCCACTGAAAAACTATTCTGTGAAATATTAAATAGTTTTTCACTGACTGAAAGCAGAAACACAATGAGATGTTCATAAAAGCTAACCTAAACTTGTTACATGCAAAAAGACAACAAAATACCACATTTTTATTAACCACATCATTTGACTTGAAAAAAATTCTAACTGCTCAGTGCTAACCAGATGGTAAGTAAGTACTGAGAGATGTACTTAGATGAGATGCACTTAGACGCAGTAGGCAAACTAATATCTAGAACTGTAAAGATTGCTGAAGCAACGACACCTTACAAGTTATTTATAATGGGTCTGCTAACCACTGCCGAACAGGCATCTGTTAAGCTTCACATAATGCCAAAAAAGTTACAATTTCAATACACATTTTACATATTTTCATCATATATATTTTTATACACTTTACTCATATTTCAATACACTTTTTACACATTTCCCAACCTTAACTATCACACATTGGGCTATCTTTAGCATCTTCCATTTATAATTAATGGCACATCTTACAAAGATCATGGAAAAGAAGGATACATGTAGCCAACAATAGCATTGAGGTAATAAGGCTAGATTGAGTTGAGGTGATATGCTTGGGGCATCCTATTAAAACATGTTTATAAAATGGAAATTATTTTATCACATATTCAAGAAAGTTTTCAAATTTGGTTATCCAAGACTAGGAGTATAGAATAGTAAGGATTTCTAGCAGAACAATTTCTTAAGTGGGTCCACATGATAACAGGTCAGCTACAAGCTCCAGTATGCCATTTTCAAGAACATAGAACTAACTAGAGCTTACTGACCTCTTCCACAAGTCCATGTCTCCAACCAAGCCTATAGCATCCAGGCATAGCCCCAATAGGTGTGTCCTCTTCACCTGTAATTCCAGCAATATCAGAAATAAATATCATGCAAACTGAGAAAGATGTGTGCGCGTTTATGAGACACACACACACACACACAGAGGGCATGTTGGCGGGGGAAAGATGGTCACATTTTGGAGTTTCAGACAACAGCAAGCCGAATGATGAAAGTCCAGACTAATACCAACCTTCATGGATGAAAAGTGGATATACGAAATTCGCAGGTGTTAAGATTGTTTCTTGAAATGCTGCTCTCACTGCTGGTGATTTCCTATTACGACGAGGGCGCCTATTAAGTGGCTGGCACCAACCAACATGGTGCAAAAGCATCCATATGATACAATCAAAATTAACCAACATAAAAGAAACTAAAAACTAAAAAATAATAATAATAAAATAAAATATAAGAGAGAAGGATAATTCCAAACAAAACCAAGATAAGGAAATGGCACAATACCCTCAATTTATATTCATTGGAGTGATGTTAATATGACAAAAGTTCAGGCATTGGCATGATATTTGGCATTTATCCAACAAGAAGCACCCTAACTTTAATGGTCGATGATTAATATGAAAGGGGTAATTTCACTTTTATCCCTTAAACTATCAAAATTTTTATTTATTTTTTTTTCTATTTCATCTGTAAACTATTAATTTCATCTATTTAGTTTTTAAAGTTTTTAATTTCAGCTAATGTGGTCCAACTGGAGACAGTTGTCCAAATCCTTAATCATTAAAGCCTAATCTGAGGGGCAAAAAAATCGTTTTAAAATTTGAACAATTTAAACTATATAATAAAAAAATATTCATTATTTTGAAATGAGGAGTGGAGAAGAAGATAGGTGTTAAGTTGTCTAATAAGAAGATGAGTATTTGATTGTCCGATTTATATTGTCTAAGTTGTAAAACTACTTCTATCAACAACAACAAAAAAATATGGTAAAACTACTTTTTTGTCGATTAGGTTAGGTTTACATGACAATTGTACTGCCTTCCATTGGACCATTTGTACTTAACTTTGGAAACTTTAAGAACTAAATTGATAGTTTAGAAAGGAAATATGGACAATGACAATAGTTTAGTGATAAAAGTGAAATTAACCCTAATATGAAATTATATTAAATGAAACAAAATATTGATCACAACTACTATCTCAGACTTTCTTTTTTATAATTGATATGCTGAATAATTGTCAATAAAAAGATAAGTTGCAACTTGTAACAGTAAAAATAACACTCACAAGCGCAGGGACAACAGGGGTTCCAGCTGGTGGAGCACGTTTTGGGGGAACAGGAGGAGCTTGGGGCACATTCCCAGCTACCACAGCAGCCTCACATTCCTCATCACTCAAACCCATCTTCCTCATCGGTCCATCACACGTTTCGCTCGCTCTCACAATCAACAATCGACGACGATTACATGCTTTGCTTTGGGGACGAACACATACAAAATTATGATTCACAGATGGTTTTAAACCCACATAGTTTGCACAATCCAAACCCTTGATTGCTCCAACATTACAAGGCAAATTAACCACAATCGAAGCCATATAAGCTCAATAAATCACTATGTTCCTACAATGTATGCATAGAAATGGCATCAATTGAATAATACTACAACAATTTAAGCATCAGAAACAATTCAATTTAAGAAATGAAACACAGAGCAAAGGTCAAATCTCTTGATATTAATTTGAATTTCTAGTAATTTTTATGAGAAAGTTGAGGAAAGATTACAGGAAAGGGAGATCGGAAACTTTACCTTAGATGTGATGTGAAGAAGCAGCGGCGGAGAGAGAGAGAGAGGAGGAGCTTATCTGAACAATTCAGTAGTCTTGTCAACTTCGTCGTCTACCAAAACTTAGAAGCGGTTGTGGGTTTTTTGTAACGTTTTTAAGGCCACGTTTGGCAATTCAATGATTTTTTATTTTTTTTAATTAAAATATGAGATAAAAAAAGTTAAATATATTTAGAAAATATTTTTTTATTTTTACAAAAATATATATGTATATGTAAAAAATAAAATGAATGAAAAGAAATAAGTTGAATTTTTATTTTTTAATTAAAATTACATATTCTCAAATGAAGCCTTAATTACCTTTTGATTTTTAACGTCTATTATCACCCCCACGACCTTTGGTGATTCCCTCAGCTCGGCTTACACAGTGACTGTTATGGTGTGTGAAAATTATTTTAAATTTTATTTTGATAATTTAAATCATTAAATTTTAAATAACATTAAGTACAATATATTTATAAAAGGGCATGGTTTTTGTTCAGTCCTTAATCGAATTGGACCGTACTGTTGGGTCTGTGGGGGCTTACCACGAGTCTCGTTTTGATAATCTGAACCGTTCAATGTGTAGACCTCGTCAAGTACTATATGTTTGTAAAAAATCACATTAATCGGATATCGATAGCTATGTGATCAAATCAATTTTGTATAAAAAAAATTTGGACGGTGAATAAATTAACGGTTGACAAAAATCTGTTTTGATCACATAGCTATCGATATCCGATCAACGTGATTTTTTACAGGCATATAGTGCTCGATGAGTTCTACACATTGAACGGTTCATATTATCAAAACAGGACACTCGTAGTGGGCCCGCACGGGCCCAACAGCACGATCCAGTCCGATTAAGGATTGGACAAAAGCCATTTCCCTTTATAAAAAATCAATTTGATCAGATATTGATAGACATTTCATTAACTCACATTTGTATTCAGGTTAATACTTATATATATTTATTTTTTCATATATATAAATGCGAGTTGATGAAATGTCTATCGATATTCGATGAACTTACTTTTTTACAAATATATTCTACTCAATATTCTTTAAAAATTGAATGGTTCCATTCATGAAAATAAAATCTAAAATAATTCTCATAAACCGCACAACAATCACTACTTTGCAAGCCGCACAGCAGCGACCCTAATCCCTCAGTGAGACTCATTATCAGGCATCACCCCCCCCCCTTAGCAAACTTATGAATGTACCAAATGTGATTTTTTTTTCCTTCTATTTTTACTAAAAATAAATATAGATATATACCATATTTTTTTGTAGAAAAAATAAATATATACATACACATATTGAATTTCGCTTTGGCTCAAATCTAAATTTGAAAAAAACATTAGCCACCCATGAGGTCCATCAATAGAATATGAATCATGTGAAAAAAAATAAAATAAAATTTCTCTCTTCTGAAATATATATTTTTAAGGGGCTTTTCTTTTTTTTCTTTTTTGTGTCAAATGGTAACAGATTTTATTTTATTTTATTTTATTTTTTGAACTGAATAACAATCAAAAAAGACTATTATAAAACAATAAATAATAAATCAAAAAAAGACTATCTGTTGGCTTTTTTGGCTTTCGAATGTTATTATTGTAATTTTAAGCGTGTCAGGAAAGATCAATCAGTCCTTACAGAAGATTAATTGACAACCAATTATCAGATGATTGTGTTTCAGTTCTTTCAGCCTCAATGAAGAGGACTTTTACTGGTGGCTTTGTTTAGGAGAATTAAACAAACAACAATTAAATGAAGAGCAATTGTAGCATTTCATTAAGTAAAAATAAAAGACTTACAATGATCCAATTCAGTCTCGTAGAGGATTGAAGCAACAAATTACAGCCTCGTAGAGGTTTACAGCAACAAACTACTTGAAACTACTCCTATAAAGGAAGTGCAGTGCAGGAATTTGAAGTACAGAAAATGTAAAGAATAAGAAATGTAAAAACTGGAAGGGAAATAAAGTAGATAAAAACTGGTTCATTGGATCTGAGTCTAGGACTTCTTTTTAGGGCCTTCTCTACTATTTATACTTCTCAATGATAAACGTCGAAATAAGTTTCTAACCATCGAATCATCCCGTCATGATCGCTAATCATGTTTCCTCACAGTTAGCTCCATTACGCCATATTTGTAGTTAGGCTTCCCTCTTGATTTTGAATTCAAATATACGAGTAACTGTTAAAGCCACGTCGTCTTGCATCTCTTTGTTGATCCAGTGCTATGCAGATCCACAATAACCAATATTAACTGTCACGTGTGTGATTATGATTGAAGATTTGAATTGTCTTCCCGTATTGCCCTCATCCTGCCACGTGTTGAACTGTGATTGATCTGTACAAAATATATAGCCAACATTACCCCCTACACTAATATACCCAATACTTAGTGATATTAGTGGATCAAGGTGTTTTATCAACATCTTAGAACGTGCATAGGCTTTGCATTTTTCAGAAATGCAACCGTCATTCATCAATGAAACATTAAATTCTCTTCTATCCTTTGAACATTCCCACTATCTCAGTATTCGAAAAGACTGGTACAGCTTTCATGGCCAAGCAAACCTTTTCTTACCTCGATCAAGCATATGAAGAGTTGTTTGATAATGATGTTCATCCTCCAAAGAACCTTTATGCATTGATTAGCCTCCTTCACCCACCTTCCTATATTCAAGTCATGGAAGCTTTTGCAGACTATCAACCTTTGGATTACGAACCTATTGTCCATAATTCTTTAACCCAAAATTTTGTAAACATGGATATTGGAAGCTCTTCTTCCGACCCATAACCTTCTGCATGGGATGAGGCTGTAGCTTCTTCTTCTTCTTATGGGGCTTTTGGTTGGAGTAACTGGCCAGAACCTAAGGAATCCAAGTTAAGAGAGCAAATCAATCATCATTTTGTCAAATTTGCTGATCCTCTAACTTTCCCTCCCTTTGCTCGAGGTTCGGTGGTTTACCCATATATACCCATCGACTACCAACGCCGTTTGGAGGACAACTTACTTGTAGCATAGTACACATCTTCCATGCCTACGAAGATAGTACAAGCCACTCGTCGTCCAAAAGAGGCTCAAGGGTATAGCCCATCATTCTTAGCCCAAAAGGCAAAACTTTGCTCTTCTGACTGGCTTGATATTGTCAGCAACCCCCAATTCCCTCATTCTTTCGAGATAGAAACTCCTGCACCTCCTCTTCTGCAAAACCCTCACTGGATGGAGAAATTGAGACTTACCCTCTTTGAGGACTAGTTTCTCCCCTCCTCTAGCCCTCCATCTCCCCCTACTAAATTTTAGCGATATCAAGCCCAACTTCTGCTTGCGGCCTTTTCTCACTTGCCCTTTAATGTTCTCGAGGATGATGTTTCTCTTAAGAACTTTCGATGGGCTTGTGATGTTATGACCCGGGGTCATGTCCTCAACCCTATCGCCTAAGCAGAACTCCAGATGTTTTTAGACCAACTCCCACTGCTTCCTCATTGGCATCAAATTTATGTGGCCATCACTCGATCTTTGGACCAAATTTCAGCCCATCGAGTTTATACCCGGTATGAAACAGAAAACCTCATCGACAAATATGATGATTTCAAGAATAGAGACTCTGCATATTGGGATGACTTGGACATGGATGAAATAGAACAAGGGTTAAAAGAAACAGAGTTTGAAGTAAAGGCCGAAAAAAAATTTTATCAAGTAAGAGCATATCAACTTCAGTAGCCTAGCCTGGAGAAGATAGAAGATAGAATAAAAAAGGAACAGAAGTTTATTGACCATAGTTGGAACAAATTCCATGACCTCGTCATTTACTTCGTTCCTTATTTTTATGAACTCGAGTATATAGCCAAAAAAGGCTTCTGATGTAATTGCTTTTGTTTTAATAAAGTTAAGATGTTATCTCTTTATTTGGCATGGTCTGATTTTATCCCATTTGTCAAAAGCAAACAAAATTAGAGCTTCTAATTCACTAATTTTGTCCTTCAAAACTTAATTCGATCATACTCAATGAAATACTAGAAACCCAATTTGAATTTTCCCAACATATGGAGTATAATTGACAACTTTAGTCTTAAGTCTCCTTTCAGAATCAGAACTTCGAATTCAACAATTTCGTCTTTCGAAACTTGATTTGATCATATCCAACTCCCCAACTTAAGGTTAATACACTCAAGTAATTTCAAATCAACTAATTTTGCTTCGAACAAACAGTCTATATTTTTCAAAATATAGAAATCTCTTTTAAGGACTGCACTGTTTTATTCTAAAAAAGTGATTCCTTCTATTGACCATAGTTGGAACAAATTACATGACCTTGTCATTTACTCCGTTCCTTATTTTTATGAACTTGAGTATATAGCCAAAAAAGGCTTCTGATGTAATTGCTTTTGTTTTAATAAAGTTAAGATGTTATCTCTTTATTTGGCATGGTCTGATTTTATCCCATTTGTCAAAAGCAAACAAAATTAGAGCTTCTAATTCACTAATTTTGTCCTTCAAAACTTAATTCGATCATACTCAATGAAATACTGGAAACCCAATTTGAATTTTCCCAACATATGGAGTATAATTGACAACTTTAGTCTTAAGTCTCCTTTCAGAATCAGAGCTTCGAATTCAACAATTTTGTCTTTCGAAACTTGATTTGATCATATCCAACTCCCCAACTTAAGGTTAATACACTCAAGCAATTTCAAATCAACTAATTTTGCTTCGAACAAACAGTCTATATTTTCCAAAATATAGAAACCTCTTTTAAGGACTGCACTATTTTATTCCAAAAAAGTGATTCCTTCTATATACTGCTAAACCAACTATTGGTTTTGAAGCCTAGAACAAACAAACTCTAACTGTAAGGTATTTCAAATTTTTCTTTGAAAGATTTTACTCTCATCAAGAAACCTAAAAGCAGGTCTTTAATCCTTTCGAAGTCAACTTCTTGCTTTCGAAGATTCCTGCACCCTTAGGTGTGGAATGTGCTTCGAAGTCAACTTCCTAATTTTGAAGTTGTTTGTCACTTGATTTTGGTGCCAAAACTTGGCTTTGAAGCCAAACATTTTATTTCGAAGCCAACATTAGTGTTTGAGATACATTTCCCTCCCAAATTACCAA